AAGTTTTTTGAAACCTGTTTTTGGCATGTCTACACTATAAACTTTGAATATTCTTGCCTAAGCAAATTAAAAGTGAAAAGATTTCTTTGTACCTCTGTTCCCAACTCGTTCCTTCGTCCACTGAGTGGCTGCCACAATACTCTCTGTCTTGGTGACATCAAGGATCACTGTCTCTAGCCTGTCTGATGTCTTGCTCCTCAGCTCCTCGGCTCCCTTCTCCGTCAGACATGCAGCCAGCACCCTCATGCCTCTCCTGTCCAGCTGTCTGGCCAGCAGGTTCCCAAAGCCCGAGTCACAGCCCGTGATGAAGACATACTTGTCTTGGAGATGGCTCACCACCTGCCTCTCACGGTACCAGCGCAGGAGGGTCCACAGGCCCACTAGAGCCACCAGGTAGAGCCACATGGCTTTGAAAAGGACAGGCACATAGAGTCTGTGCCAAAGTGAGCCTGGCCTCTATTCACAGAGGATGAAGCAGGCACTGAGGACTCGGGAGACACAGCGGAACACAGGCTTCCAGCAGGGAGTCTGCACCTTGTTCTCTGTCCACTGTCTGTGGTGATATTTATTGCTGTCTCACTTCTCTGCTCTTTCACCTGGTTGGTCATCTGATATATAATGGCCTTTGGCCTTCCCTTACCTGCTGCCAAGAAAACACCACTGTCATTCAGTAACCCACCTTCCTTCAGTTATGATCTCTGATTTTACTCATGTGGGATTGCATGCATGTTTCCTTACCCACGCCCACTACAGTCAAGTCCCAGGCTCACCTTGGGTCTCTGCATCTTGCACTCCAGTGCTCCAAACCCAGAAATTTGTGAACACACTTAGGTGCTGGTGCCAACCTGTACTTGGCTCACTTGGGCTCAGGATACATTCACAAGGAAATCCTGCTCTGAGCTCAGGTTTCCTCCTCAGGTTCCTCAGTCAGAAAATCTCCTCAGAAAACAAAGTAGCTCTCTTTGTCTCTAAATCTCCAGGGTAGCTAATGAGAGGACAGGGCAAGCTGGTGTTTTTCTGTACAGCAACTGTCTGGGAGGAATGAGGTTCCAACTACAAACAGGAAGTCTGGCCCCAAAGGAACAAAAGGTGATGGTGGCTCGGAACCCCAGGCACAAAATCACTCTCAGAGTCGATGTGGAGGAAGAAATGACATACCTTCTCAAGATGCCATCCTTGTTAGTTTTGTTGTTGGTGTTGGTTTCTTTGTTAGTTTTTGTCAACTGACACAAGCCAGAATCAAATGGGAAGAACCTAAACTGAGAAAATGCTTCCATTGGATGGCCCATAGTCAAGTCTGGGGTGGCATTTCCTTGATTGTTAATTGTGGAGGAAGGTCTACTCCTCTGTGGGCAGAGCCACCCCTGGACAGGTGGTCCTGAGCAGTGTAAAAATGTGGGCTGAGTTAGCCAAGAGGAACAAATCAGGAAGCAACATCACCCCATGCTCTCTGCTTCAGATTGTGACTCCAGGTTCCTGCCTTGAGTTCCTGCCCTGACTTCCCTTCATGAAGCCTGTCTACTGTAGGGTGAGATAAACCCTTTCCTCCCCATGTTGCTTTCAGCCATGGTGTTTCTGCACAGCAATAGAAGGATATTGAAGACAGACACCCTTCTCTCGGCTCTACAGATTCAACTGGACATAAGGGTAGCAATTTTCCCTTGTAACCACCATGAATGCCCCAGAGTAACCTGAGCCAGGATTTCTTGCATAATTTCCCAGCAAACCTAGTTACACTAAATGTCTACAGATACTTGGAGCTTGGTTCTTGGAACATTCCTGGCTGAGTCTCTGAATCCAGCTGAAATAAACCAGGGACCTTCCAACAAGGACACGGCTACATAACTCCTTTCCCACGATTTTCACCACATTCTACCTCAATTTGCATAGATCAGATAGTCTTGTCTTTCTCAAAGATCAGATTTCTACTCAGGAAGTCCTCCGATGCAGTGCATTTGCTACACAAACTCCGTCTATCTGCCTTTCTTTGTTAGGTCTCACAGCACCTCATGTCTGGTCCTCATTCCCTAGGACTTCATAGTTCTCAAAAGCAGGATGTGGGCGCAGATCATTTTGCCCTGTATCATCCATTTCTGCGGCTTCCTCTGTATGGTCGCATATACAGAATCAAGACGCCTCCTAAGGGTCTAAAATGAGTGGAATCTCAGGGGAACAAGGACCACAACGCCAACAGGTTTCCCTGGAACTTATCCAGACCCAGAGACCCCTAAGTGTCTGCCCAACATGTGTTACTCCTGTAATTAGAAGTTTTCCCCCAAGGGTCCCAACACAGGGCTAGAATCTGAATCCCACAGAACTGTCCATTGAGGACTCCACAAGGAGTACAGGGTGCCAGGTCTCAAGGAGATGGACAAGGGAGGGCAGGAGCTAGAAGGGTTGGAAGAGAGAGAAAAGCCAAAGTTTCAAGGCTCTGAGCAGCTGCCAGACACCTTGAGCCATCAGTTCTCTAAAGGGAAAGTCATGCCATACAAATAGGTAGGCTTTGTCGAACAGCTCAAGTGTGTCTGACCCAACCAGAGTAAGAACAGTGGCATAGACCTCAGCTCCACCACAAGGACTGAGCCTTGCTCTCCAGCAGGGACTTGTGACCTGGAGTCACAAGTGTGACGTGGAGCTGGCCACTCTTCCTTCACAGTGGGTTGGTATCTGCCCCCACTTCTGTTCCTCCTCCTCACCTGCTTGTCACCCCACCTACCCCTGCTCCTGATCCTTCATGGGTTCCCCAATAAGCACAGATGTCTACATGATGGATCCTGGGTCAGGAAGGATTGGGGGGAGTGGTCTTGTTGGAGGAGGTGTGTCACTGGGGGTGGTCTTTGAGGTTACAAAAGATTCCCTCCACTCATTAGCTCTGTTCCCTGCTCCTTGACATGTGAGCTCCTATGCTGCTCCAGCGGCCTGTCTCCAGGCCTTTGCTCGCACATCATGGACTTGTTGGAGCCCAAACCCAATTAACTGCTTTCTTTTGAAAGTTGTCTTGCTCATGAATTTCTATCAGAGCAGTGAACAGTAACTGCTACACACCGTACACTTGTTCCAGCATCCTAATTTACCACTGCTACAGAAATAGTTGCTAACCAGAGCAATAGGGACCAAGGGACTTTAAATGATCTTAACAGCCAAGGGGACCTAAAAATCTAGAGTGGTCTGCACCTTACAAAGTGAACACTGGAGCTTCCTTAACAAAAGGAGACTGAAGGTACTTTTTCCTCCAGTGAGCCCATGCCCCTTCAAGTGTGAATTCTCTTACATCACCCATTCCTGACAAAACCCACTCCTCACACCTAGTGCTCCTTCCTTCCCAGTTCTGACAAGATATGTACTCCAGTAGCTGTCAAGGAACTCTAATAACACATCAGGATCTAGGCCAGTCCCTGGAATTTCCAGATGAAGCCAGTGAGAGTAGGAGTCATGTATCAATATACATATATGTATACCAATGTAAATTGTCTAAAACTAATAGTTGGTAAAATAGTTTACAGGCAGATACACTAATCCACCTTATTATCCTAGCCTATCCCCTTTTTTTCTATACTAATGAGATTCTTGAGTCCAATTATTATTAATCTGCCCACAACCCAACACTAACATTACCAACCCTGAGAAAAACCAAAATCCATCCATCCCATCTGTTTGGAGAGGGGGCATCATTTCCTACAATTACTTCCAGCTGTCTTGGGGAAGATGCTATCTCTGTGGGATTTGTAAAAAAAAAATAAAGCAATCATTAAGTTTCAGGAGGACCAGGTATAACATTTGTAGTCTGTCTCTGGGTAGTGGGTAAGACGTATCTGAAGTTTTGTCTAATGTGGACCATCTCAACCAGCCAGTTTGGAATTGTCTTGAGTAGTTTCTGTCCAAAGCCAATCCTTGAGGGGTGTATTTCGGCGCCATGGCATCATTTTAAAGCAGGTAGGATCATTGCTGTGCTACCCCATCTTCTTCTGGAGACTTCAGAGTTTACTGTTAGGAAAATTTATTGTTCACTGTGGAAAACTTAAACATTATTAATATCAAATGGAAAGTTTAACTTTAATATAGATATTTATCCAAAAAAGGGACTAAAGAGGTCAAAGGGACTAAAGGTACTGGGAGAAATAGAATTTTGGGGAGATAATAGGGTTTTGGCAACAATAGTCCCTAGATTTTTGTTTTTCTTCTGTCCCACACCAGGTGGCTCTTCTGACATGAGACAGAAATTTTATTCTAAGAACATGCTTGGATTTAGAGAAGGAGAGAGCCACGCTCCAACTCTAAGTCAGCTTTGATTTTTTAATTGAGTCAGGACTACAACTTTTCTGACAAGTAATGAGATGTAGATGTTAAGGTAGTGGGATTCTTGTCCTTCACAGACTATTGATACCATAGGTCAAATTTCCCTTCACTTGGTAATTTTTTGAATACCTTTCTCTTCTTCTTAGATGTCTTGATGTCCATGATCTTTTTATTTCTTTAAGATGGGTATTTTTATTTTCCTGTAGGGACAAGAACAGAACCCTGCCCTGACCCTTGTGAGGTTTCCTTACAATCTGTAGGATTGTCACCTCAGTGGCTGAGTTATCATTTCTCCTATCAAGAGGTTTCTCCTGTTAGAATAGAATCTCGGTTAATTTTGATGGTATCCATAGCTTTTCTTCTCCTGTGTGATGGGGCATGTCCTTCTGTGTATATGTTTCTCTTATTGATTGATGAATAAAACACTGATTGGCCAGTAGCCAGGCAAGAAGTATAGGCTGGACTCCCAGAGGAAGAGAATGCTGGGTAGAGGACATAGAGAGAAGCTGCCAGGGGAGATGGCAGCCGAGGAAGGAGTAAGAGATCCAGATCCTTCTCCGGTAAGATAAGAGCACATGGAGATACTTAGATTAATAGAAATCGGTTAATAATTAACAGAAAGCTAACCAGTAAGAAGCCTGAGCCCATCCACCAAATAGTTTCTAATTAGTATAAACCTCAGTGTGCTTATTTGGGCAGTAGGACTAGGTGAAACAGAAACTCCAACTACACCTGTGGAAATAAAAGTGAAACCCCTTCCCCAGGGTATGTAGCACAACTCCTGGTTTCCACTCTGAGGTCAACACATCTTTGAAGTGCACAGGCTGATTTAACTCAGAAGTTTTCTATTGTTCAATGTCTTTCCACAGCTGTTGTTCCTTTCTCATTAGCATTAAGAAAATTTCAAGGTTAATAAGGCATTATGTAGCCGGGTGTTGGTGGTTTTTAAGCATTTATTTTAGAGTGTAATTCGATCTTTCAACAACTGCTTGTCCTGTAGGATTGTGCAGTGTGCCTGTAATATGCTTTATATTATAATATGCAAAAAGCTATTTCATTTACTAGAGACATACACTAGAGCATTGCCAGTCTTAATTTGTGCAGATATT